AGAAGGGCGGAGAGTCACTGTTTCAAGACAATCTATACTAGTATGGTTCATAACTGGCTCACGTACCTTATAAACAGTTTGCACATGGACAGAACAACATCAATCGAGTACGAGGGACCTCGGCCCTCCGTGTCCCCGATTCACCCAGAATGGCAAGGAGTTTCCGCCGGTGTTTCATGTGGCATTCAGCGGCGGCAGGGGGCACCGTGTAGACAATAATTCTTGAAATACCTCATTAAGATGTTTTTAACAGCGGCCGGGCTGTAAATTCAACTATAGAGCATAACCAGGATGACTCAATGCCGGACCGGATAGGCCAGCCGTGGTCCGCTCCCTCGCCGCCACTTCTGCACAGACTGCAAAACATGTTAGCTCTGGGCTTGATGCCCTTCCAAACCTTCCCCACTCTTCCCGTTTACTCGTTCACATATTAAACATCGACACTGAAAACATGGCGGCCCTTAAACTTTTTTCGCTCGCCTCTGCGTCTGCGTTCTTGATGGCGGACGCTGTCCATCAAACGGCAAAGCAAACTTCATTGGCACCGCAGGGGTCATCCCCAACCTACACTGTAGAACTCGGTACGTTGGCAAATACTTGCTTACTGGGGAAGGTTTCAGTCCTGTTGTCCAAAGTAAATGCATTGGAGGCGATGATTTGTGCTGGAGGTTCAATGGGCTCGGAAGAGAAGAAACGCTTCAAAGCGCACTAAATTGCTCCAACCCGCATTTGCAAGTATCAGTATTTGTACATTTGGACTTAGGATGTCTGCGTCCTTTGCTTTTGTGCAGGGAATGATCATGTGTGCCTCGACGAAATCAACGCTGCACGCGAAGCCGCTGGACTCGAACACTTCAAAACGGAGAGCGGTGCAGACCTAGCGTTGCCTCCAGTTACCGTGGAAGACGGGTCAGAGCACAATACTGCATGGGATCCTGTTTGTGAAGCTCTGACTGCAGTAAGTGTCTTTCAATATGGCCCCCTGTCATTAGTCCCGCTATCTATGCTTCAGGCTGTTTCATTTCTTCGTCCGTGCTTTTTTCATTTCAGGAAGAGTCAGCAGATGTAACGAAGAGCGCAACTGAAAATGGATTTAAAACTGGTACATACGCCTACATGGCCTTGGAATCGGGTGAGCCCGACTGTGCCGCCGCAGTGAAGCACTGGAAGGACG